GCTATCCCCCTAGCAATATGTGTTACTGTGCTACACACTGTAAAAGACCAGAGACCACCGGGCAACGGCGTGTTTTATTAATGAAAAATGCAAAAGTTTTTCTCTTTTTTCTTATTTTTTTTTTTTTTTTTTTTGGATTTTCTGTTAAGAGCATTTTTATTTTTTTTTGTTCTACGTGCTTTTGACTTTTGTGCCACAAAGTGAGCGATTACAGAGCAAGTTTATTAACTGGTCAGATTTGTAAACGACCTAAAATGATATCCAGATAAGGTTTAGCCAGTGGTTCCGGTTTTTTTTTTTGGAGCTCTACTTTAAGACTTGAGCAACTCAAAATATATTTGTGAGTCGCATTAAGTCAAATACTTGCTTTACTTTAAAAATGCCCATTGTACAGAAAATATTGCATATCGTAAATATTTTCGGCTATAAAATACGGGCTAGAATAGTTTTCTGACCAAAATTGGCATCTATCAAAAAAAAAATTGATGAATCCAATGTTTGGAAAGAGATCTCTTTAACTAACTAAACGATTTATGAATTAACATAATTGTTAGTTTAGGGTTCTGTTCTTTTATTCTTTTATTTTCAACCATTCAAATATTGGCGAGAATTTCAAATTCTGGCAAAAACCAATTGTAATAAATTATATAAAATAAAATAAAAATAAAATATTAAAATACCTATAAAAAATATAAGTAAGATAATAATAATTATGATTATTTTTTGTTATACTCTTTCTCTTTGTTAAATACTTTTTCTGCATAAATCGCTAGTTGCAAAACATTTTAAAAGCAATAAAATCATAGTTTTAAGTAGCCAAAGTAGCTTGTACTTAATTCCACTTCAGAGTTGCCACAAGCACTCCAGTTTTCTGCTACCCTGTTCACATTCAAGTACCAACTAGTTCTAATGTGTGCTCAGTGTTTGTTTTGTTTGGCAACAAACTATGTGCTCATTTGTGTGCATATATAGATACATGTGTGTATATATATATAGTCCTACTTAGTTGCCGAACATAATAAAACTGCACAAATCATAAAAAAGAAAAATAGAATCTCACACACACACGCACACACACGTTCTCTGTGGGTAGCCCGGTCTCTCTGTGAGGGGGCGCCCCTGCCCCTGCCCCGCCCATTAAACAACTTCCATGCGCACAGAGTGCAATGGAACTTAATGCTGAAAATAAAACCCAACTATAAAGCGGCATTAAAAAAAAAAAATCTCAAAATGAAATTAAATCTCGACACCCACGAGAGTTATGTAGTTTTTTTTTTTGTTCAGCTTTTGTTTTGCTGCTGCTGCTTCTTCTTGTTATTGATGTTGTTTTTGTTGGTGTTTTTTTTTGTTGTTGGCGCTGTTGTCAAGTCGTTGGCATTCGCTGTCGCATGTTAATTATGCGACTACCTATGCCCAACCGCCTGGCCCGAGCTCGCCCCCGCCCCCGCCCCTGTTGTTGGCGCTGTGTCAGATGTGGGCCGCGTCCAAGCTGCCAAAGACCTTGACTCTTTAGAGATCTTGATACGATTTATACAATTTTTGATTCATGACGTCTGTGCTCGCGACCCTCTCGCTCCTTGGTCTCTCTCCTGCCAACGCTCAACTCTCATTCTGTAGGCAAGCCATGTCGCCATATTTGTCGCGCCATCAGGCCCCCATAGAACCGGGCACAAGAATTCCAATTTCAATCAGCAATTTGCATACAATTTTACAGGTCGTCCCAAGCAGCTGGTGCTTATATGGCGGGATTAGCCAGCAGCAGCAGCAGCAGCAGCCGAGAGCTCCAGAAGAGAGATTGGTGCCTGCGGTTATGGGCCGTTTGCCGCAGCAAGTGTCGCCTCTAATGGGACAGCCGATTGACAAACTAACTTAGTGACTAACTGATTGAATGTTGTGTAGCTGTGTGGGCGTGGTGTTGATTGACGGCCATCGATAGACCAAATAGGGCGGCCTGGCCGGTTAGACCCATAGACGTGGCCAACTTGGATCACAGATTGCAGCAAACATTCGCAAATTGTCTCGTTTGATTTCATTTCGCTTCTGTCGCGCGGGCCAACTAAAAATACATGACAGATCACTGTCTGAAACATCGTACGATTTTGTGTATATAAAACAAGATACCAAAGTCAAGTACAACACGCTGAACTCAAGATACTCTAGGGGAAGCAAAAGAAATCGAATAAGAATGAGAAAAACTTGTAATGAAAATTTAAATACCTTTACATTTAATTTATTTAATTTTATTATTATTGAATTTAGTTTGGAGATATGGTTACCTTTGGTTAATTATACATTTAAATCTCAAGCAAAATCTTGCATAGGATTTGAACCAGCAACCTCTTCGCTGGATGACAAGAATACACTTTGACATATCTTCTTATTTATTTTATATAAATTAAATTATGATGGAAGCTTATATTGGATAAACTAGCATACTAGCATAGGTTTGAACCAGCAACCTCGTTTTGAACTGGCCATATAAAACTTATATATCTCTTTATCAATTTTATAGAAATTTTACTTTTAAATTGTTAGGAAAACATAATTTATAGGAAAATCGACCTTCTTTTTAACTTTATATGCAATAACATTCGCTAGCATAGGGTTTGAGCCAGCAACCTCTATACTAGCCGAGCCAAATAAACGTTGATATGGCACCTTCTTGTTGCCTCACGGTTCAAGAACACATTTAAACTTTTAATAATGTATCATTAGTGATAAGTTTTGAGTTTTGATTAACAAAGTGCTTAGGCAAGCGATTCTACCTCGAACGCGGCTAGTGTATTTCTATTATAAATATCAGCAACTGGTGCTACATCTATTTTGAGTTGTTTCTCTCGCCTCAGTGGGCTGATCTGATCGCCGTCTTGTCGCATATTTTTGCTAAATTTAAATTGGCCCAAACATTCATAACGACATTCAGTTTGTTTTCACTGTGCTCCGACGCGCGCCCGCGCCTCTTTCCCCTTCCACCCACATATTTGGAATCGAAAATTTGAAATTTGTTCTCTTTCATTTTTTGTTGTTGTTGGTGAATTTTATTAATTTTCTTGCATTAGTTTTTAATGCGTCGTCGCTATAATTAAAGTCGCCATAAAGCTGACAATATTTTAAGGCAATTCGCAAAGTGCGACAAATTAATGAATTTATGTGACAAGACTACAAAAGACCAAAGCACGCCCTCCCTCCTTGGCGGCGGGGGCAGCCACCTGTCTGGCCATTGAACAGTTTATCGCTTAAATTGTTTCAAATGTCGCCAGGCGCCGCCACCCAATCCCCCCTGCACACCTCGTCAATGCCGTGCAGCTCGCGTGGGCGACCCAACGACAACATTTTCAATTTGCTTTTTCGGCCCGAAACTTAAAGAGCATCCATATGTATGTGTCCAGAGTGTAGAGTGTGTGTGTGTGTGTGTGTGTGTGTGCCTTTTTTTTATAAAGAATCTCACACATATATGCTACTTGTGGATATTTATGAGTGTTTATGTGTGGGGTTGGTTGGCAGGGGGCGGGGGGCGGGTGGCGGTGTGCTTCGAGTAGAACAAAGATTGTTGCACGTTTCTTGGAAATTTCGTTAATACATTTGCTTTATTTTTATACATTGCCGAATAGATTCGCGTAGATTATTGTGCGACCAGCGTGAGGTGTTTGTTGCTCTTGTCCACACGCTGACTGCATGATAGCCGAGACGCGATCCTGAATCGCAGCTATGTGCGTGGCGACTCCAGACGTGGCGACTGCCCACGTGGCCTGGCCCAGCCCGGCCTGGTCTGGCCTGGCCTGGCCTGGCATCGAAAGCGAATTCCATGCCGACATCCTGGGAAAGTGTGTGGGCGTTTGCGCGTGGAGGCTCAGCGACTTGAAGACTGGGAGACTGAAGATTCGAGCTTAGCTCTAAACTAAATCAAATTGAGAACCGGCTGCGCTGAGACTCAGCTCGTTGAACTCGTTCTGAGGCGCCACCAGAGCGGCGTCCAGGGCGAGGGCCAGATCTTGGGCAGGGCTGAGCTGGGCGCTGGCAGATGTCTCTGTGGCTGCAGCTGAAAGGGAAAATTAATTGAGTTCAAATTTAGGCATCGTTTTGCACTCGCTGCCGCTGTTGTTGTGGTTATGATTGTTGCTGTTGCTGTTGCTGTTGCTGTTGTTGGCCGCACGCGTTTCTGTAAACAAACAAGCACAAAAACTCGGCAACAAACAAAACGCAACGCGTGGCATCCACAGCTACAGCCGCAGACGCAGCCACAGCCACGAGACGGCGACCTGGTCTGCAGCATCTTTCAGCTTTTGCTATTTGTTTTCCAAACAAGACTCTTTGCAATGGCCCCCAGACTGAGAGGCGGCCCCCTTCCCAATTTCCCCCTCCTTTCCTTTCCATCGCTTTCTTGCCACCTCCAGTTGCAGTTGCGTTCAAGTGCGTTCAATTTTCAATAAATCCATAAAATTTAGTTGCCAGCATTTTCACCACAACAGCAACTGGAGTCGATTCCTGCAGTGTAGCTAAACCGCAGTCACCGCAGCAGCAGCAGCGGGATCAGCGGCAGCAGCAGCAGCAGCTGTAATGGACATGGCCTGCTCCAACTGGTGCCCCATCTTCATATCCATCTCCATTTTCAGCTCATTCGTCTGCTCCGGCTGCTGCTCGGTGGTCGTTACTTGGCAAACGCTTCGCTGGCGATGTCTGCGGACTACGGACTCCCAACTGGCTGAAATTTTTGTTTTGGTCTGCGCTAAGTAAACAATGCAACAGTAACAACAACAATAAAACCAACAAATATTGTCGAAGCTACAGCAGCAGCAGCCAGCAGTCAACAGCCAACTGGCAATAGCAGATGCTAAGCTCGCATGATAATGATTCACTGCGCACAGTGGTCCACGCGAGCGTAAATAGGTGAAAACTAAAGAAATTACATTTAACTTTGGGATATCTCTTGAAAATTCAATACATTTTTAAAATATTCTTTTGTAAGTTAAATAAACAAAATATTAATTCTTTTGTTGCAGTTACTGCGCGGAAATGCTCATTGCAAAGTTCATGTTAGCTGCCAAGTGAACATAAATTCTATTAAGACGTAATAACTAGGAGCATAAATTTACCAAATGTATAAATATGCTCAGTGGATAAACAAACCTGGGCCCTCAATATGCCAAGAAGATAAATTGGCTAAAATGATTAGAAAATAAATGTGGCAAGTGGATAATTGTACGATAAAACAACATGAACAAAGAGGTTGAATGTGCTAAGAGGATAGATGTACCATGAGTATAAATGTGATTAGAGCATTAATGTGTAATAATTGGAAACGGATTGACAATGAGTACGGCTGGCAAAGAGCCTTTGAGAATAACTGTGTTAGCAACAAGATTTACAATGAGCAAACATTTACAAGGAGGATAAATTTCGGTAAGTCCTCTTATAATTATTGCTACGAAATTGATCGAAATACTACAGCGAACTGGCAAAGAGGTTCAGGCCTTTAAGATAAATAGTTATTTCTTATTCGACTATGTTGTTATCTGCAATTGCTGGTTCTGACCAATGCACATATGTTTTGAGACACTGTGCTGCCCAGCTGAAGTAAATATGGGTTTGAGTGTTGCCGGAATACAGGGGAGCACCGCTGGGCAGTGCTGTCTGTTGGAGTTGTGATATTGTTGCTGATGCCGCAAACGTGGCTGCATATTTTGCATCTGTTGTTGCCGCTGCTGCTGTGGTGCTCCAGACGCATCTGTAACTCATCATTTCTGAAATATTGCTCTTTTGCATACCTGCTGGAAATAATGCTGTTGCTTGTGCTTGTGCTGCTGCTGCTGCTGCTGATGCTGCTGCTGTGGCTGTTGCCACTTGGCTAACAGAACTTAATTCCATTTTATCAGAGACGCGATTTCAATCAACTTGGCGGGCAGTCGACGCCATCGACGCCGCCACCGCAGACATAATTTATGGCCACTTTTCGCAACGATTTTCGATTTCGATTTTTGCGCATTTGATGTTTTTGTTATCTCTGGCTTTGGCACGGACATGTTTTGATGTTCGAGTGCCCGACGAAATGGGCAATGGGCCAAGCGTCGACGAACAGACAAAACAACATTCTGCCTTCCGACCGTTACAAATTGATGGCCCAAGTTAATTGGGACCAGGCCCATAGACAGCCGACAGACAGTCGGGCAGACCCGAGTCAGGTACTTGTTTAAGTGTTTAATTAATGCAACTGGCACAACTCGAGGCGTTCTTCGAGCACTTTGCCGCATTAGATGCGCTGCTTCCAGCAGCAACCCGCAAACCACTTAATCTGCAAGTAGTAGATGAGAAGAGAACAAAAAAACATTGGATCGCTCGCCAGGATTGGCTCTTTGGTTGGGTGCGGGTGAACGCTGTCAAATGTTGTGCAATTCTCGCCTTCGCCTGGGTGTGGACACGATAGCAGTTGCTGTTGTTGTTAGTGCTAGAAAAGGGAGCGGGTATATTAGCTAAGACATGCTGCTTAAATTTAAACTCCAAAATCTTGGAATTTCAGTTACAGTCAGGACTGAGTGCTCCCTGCGTTGATGTTCATTCTATGAACCTGGACCTTTTCACATTCGCAGCTTAGTTTGTCATATATAATCCACAGTTTGTTAATTGTAGAAAGTTAAGCAAATAGTAAGTGCATCCAAAGTCTACTTGACTTTGTCTTTTTGCCACTTGGCGTGGGTTGTCGTTGCTGCTGTTGACGTTGTCTGACTTTCTGGTGGGTGCAGCCAGAGAAACGAGTCAGTATTGTGGATTATCCTTTGTTACGCATCGACAAGCAGCCAGCCAGGCCAGCCAGGCCAGCCAGGAACATGGAACGCTTCTTGTTGCAGCTACTCCTGACTTCGTGCTGCTCCTCCTCTTGTTACTGTTGTTGTTGTTGTTGTTGTTGTGGCAGCTTTCTTGTTCACTAAGAGCCACGCACTTTGCCGAAAATCGAGGCTTAATTGCAAACATTTTGCTGTTCAAGTGAAGTCTGATTGCTGCTCTGCTCCTGCTCCTGCTCCGGCTGCTGTGCGCTGCTGCACTCGCTCAGCTGCCGCTCGCGTTAATTGGGCTGGCGAACATTTGCGCCCTGGCACTTTGATGCCTTGCCGATGATATTCCATATAAACACACAGCCCCAACACACACACACCAACACACTGACGACATGCAACTGCCCCAGACAGCGGCTGGAGGCATCCAACACCGAATTTGCATTTCAAGCAGGCCGCGATTTATGACCAGGACCGCAAGAGCGCCTGTGACGAATCCAATTATGAGGCGCGCCAGCTGCCAACTGTCCAATGAGCCATGTGCCGGTTGCCGGTTGCCGAGTGCCGGGTGCCGGGTGCCATGTGCCATGTGCCTGATCCGATAATGCGCCATCAAATGGCCATAAATAAAATGCACAATGCGGATTAAGCGTTTTGTTAACAGATTTATATTGAGCTGAGTTATGAGGCCACCAAGCGGTAAGCCAAAAATTTTACCAAAAACGAGACGCGTTGGCAGCTTTAATGAGATGCATAAATTGATAATGATCAATGTAATTAGTTAGTTAACAGGGATGAGCATCAACACAAGCCGCATAAGCAGTGTAGACAAAGACGCTGGAAAGCTGGCAGGCTCTAACTAGAGGGTAGGTAGGATAGGCGGCACGACAATGTGATACCCTAGACAGGCAAAGGCAAGGATTTATTGAAGTTGAGTGTGGTTTCACATATGTAGAAGAACTTTCAAAATTCTCATTAGCCTTCAATAAGATAACTGCGACTTAGGCTATGCATCGATTCCCAATTAGTCAGTCAATAAGTCAGTCAGTCACTCAATTGATTAGTCAATCAGAAATATACTATAAGTTACATAGTCTCTGGTACTTATGGATGGATAGCATTGCTGCAATTAAACAGACAGATGAGCATTCAGGCTGAGCAAGTTTAATTAAGCTGATCAATAATTGATATTTTCTATAAGATTTGATATGGCTGCCATTGCTACAGCAATGTCTTACATAATTGTAGGGCATAATTTTAATGCCAAAGCAATTCCATAAAGTGTTTTATCCAATTTTTTGTGCTGTGTTTCGATTGCTTCAACAACGGAATGAGCTTGAGGTCTGCTGCAGCACATGGAAAATGGAAGGGCCGATTGTGGAATCTATGAAAACTTCCAATAAGCAAAGTGAAGCAATAGGCAAAAGTTTTTAAAAAAAATTTGTGCCACGAAATCCAAATTGAATTCTTTATCAAACTTCAGCTGTTTTTCTTCTTCTTTCGAATTGCGTATTTGGCCATCGTCAAAAGTTGTCCCTGGACTCTTTGATGCTGTCAATTCCGAGACGCGGCAGAGCTATTGACCGAATATGTGCCTTGGACTTTTTCGGGGGGTGTGCTCGCATAATGTCTGAGCAAAATTACGGCCACCGAAAAATGCGGCAAGTGCAGCCATGTGATAAAAACTTAACTTGCAGTTGCCCGCGGGCCACGCAAACGCAAATTGAGGCAGCGCCGCTGCTGAAGAAGCCGCTGCCGCTGCCAAGGAGCCATTCAAGGATCATCCTCGTCAGCGGCAGACGTGAACGTGTCGATCGTCAGCGGCGGCGACAGCAGCCACAAAAAAAAAAAACAACTAAGGAGAAGAGCTTCAAACCAAATTGACGAGTGGCAGCCGCGTGCTGAGCGCCCATTACGTAGCCCCAGACCCAGTCCCAGCTCCGGACCCGACCCCAAAATCGTGGGCTGAGCCTCGGCGCAGGGAGGCGGGCAACGACTTTTGGCTGAGCGTCGAATTAAGCAAATTACGGTGCTCGGCGATCGGCGTTCGGTGATCGTCGATCGTTGCTCCAGCTCAAGCTCCAGCTCCAGCTGCAGCATCCACTTGAAAGTTCATTGCTTGGTGGCTCGCGTTCTGCCCAAGAAATGAGTTTTGGCGGCAGCAATTTGCCTTAATGCCAAGGATTAAGATGGCTCCAATGGGGCCGGATGCCAAGCTGCAAACTGTTGACTCTTTTTTTCTTCTTCGGTTTTTGTCCACCCAACGACTCTTTAAATTTGCGCATGTAAATTTGTGTGCGTCGAACATAAAAGTGCCGTCACTTGATTGGGGTATCTGAGTTTCGAGAGCAGCTTGAGTGTTAAAAGTAAAGCAATTTGATTGTGGTCTTGGCTTATCTGGTGTTAACCCAAACTAAAACTATTAGTGAATACATAAGAAATAATAAGTGATGAGCGTTCATGAAGAAGCAGTGAAGGACCCAAATTTGTGAATCTTTTAAACAATTAGCTACGAAATATCTGTAAAAAATTGGAAAATCCTTTGTAAGGAAAATAAAACATGTTGCATAAAAACTAAGAGCAAATCTTAAATTTCAAAAGCAAACTTAACATGCTGATTCACATGTTATCCTGCTTGTAAATGTAAAAGTTACCTTATATGTTATACAAACTTCTTTTCTAATCTTCTACTATATTGAATGGGCAAACCATTCCATGCTGATTAAAGTATGATGATCTTCTTTGTAAATCTGCTTGTAAATCTAAAAGTTACTTTATACTCCTTATCTATTCTTATATTAGTGTATTTCTCTCGTCTCTCTCTCTTTCTGTTTCTACCACTGTCCTTAATTGAACTGTGGCACTTCCTTGAAAGAGCATCTGCTGTTCAGCAAAATTGTCCTGCTTAATATCTTCTGCTCCCGCTTGCTAGTCACTTGTTTTTTGCTGGCTCTCACATTTGTGCGCCGGCTGAAATATTTTTTGAATGCAGATTTTTCACTTAAAATTATTTCAATTACGCGAAGTGCACTGAGTCCAAGTCCAAGTCCAAGACCGAGGCCGCAACCGAGACGAGATGAGATGAGAGCCAAGTGCAAGAGCAAGACCAATGCTGATTCGTAGCATTCCTTTTTTTTTGTTGTCTTTCTGTTTTGTTGTTTTTGTCGTCATTTGGCAGCTGCTGCCGCCGCTTCAATTGTCGTTGTCATCCGCGGCCTCGGTCGTCTTGGACGGCTGCAAGTAGATTAAATGCCACAACGCTTTTCGTCTGGGCCCAGAACCGCAAACAGACAAACTTGGTCAATTATTTTCAACGGCGAACACAAATTATTGATGCAGTCGGCGGTGGCAGTTACAGCAGCCAGTGAAAGCAACCACGAGGATATGGAGGAGGATGCGCAGAGAGAGAGGTACCTGGAGCTGCCCAAGGCAACTGGCATATGTGGTCTACCCGGGCATTGCTGCTCGAGAGCCTCATCAATCTGAACGACAATGTCGAGACAATGGCCAGGACGCGCCACCGCAAAGGTCTTCATTAAATTAGTGAAATGAGCACGTAGCTGCAGTTGGAACCGTGGATGAGCATGTGGATCAGTATGTGGCTCAGCCTCTGGCTGCCGCAGCATTTAATGTCACAAATATTTTGTTGTCAAATGTCGCCCGGTTCTGGTACTCGCGACTGGCACTGGCACTGGCACTGGTCGTGGCTGTCAACGTACCAGAACCAGCTCACCTGGTGATGACTTAACGAGGATTTAAACGTGCCCAGCCAGCCAGGCAGCTAGTGCCCAGCTTCGCGTGGTCGTGTTGCAAGTTGCAAGCTGCTGGCTGCAAGCTGCAAGCTGCACAGGTTGCATATAAAAATCGCATTCAGTTTGCTAAATTGGCTCCGCTTGCTGGTGGGTCGATTGGGGGATTGAACCATCAATGTCTCGTCAAAGTTGCGCTCTTTATGCCCGGCAGATGGGGAAGGGAGGTTGGAAAAGAGAGAGAGTGAGAGGGGGGGGGGGGGGGGCTATGGAGGGAGTTGATATTGTGGTAACAGTAGCTGAAATCGAATGCGGCACCAAATTGCAGCAACGAGTTATTAAATTTCAGCGCAAATACGGTCAAAAGCGTTTACAATTTCGGTGTCTGCGCTTGAATACCCTAGGCTAAGAACTTGACAGGGTGGTCACAATTATGTATGTTAAATGAGACAAGCTTGAAGTTGATGATAAGAGAATAATCATAATGTCTTGAGAGAAGCTGAGAAACAAATTGACCCCATAATCTTCAGGGTATCTACAGAGTATCTGTTCTTCTATTTCTATTCATAATAATTAATCATAGCCCACATTCTTAATGCTCTTTCAGCACTTCTTACATTACTTTTATTCCACAGGGCAGCTTCTCCTTCAACACTTTTTAGTTATCTTTAATCAGTTTTTTAAATATTTATCTTTAGCTATAATCCTCCATAGGGTATCTGCTCTTTTAGCATTCTTATGCATTCTCACGCTCTCAGCATTCACATTTGCTGTTGACCATCAATAACTCTACAGGGTAGCTGTTCTTCCATCACTCTTTACAATACGTTTTGGCTGTGCAAACTGCGACACGAAACCGAAAACCAAAACAAAAGTCAATTGCTTACCCCCGCAAACCCCCTCAAACCACACGAATTGGGCCCTGGTGCCTAATTAGGCCAATTCTCGATGAGGCAACAAACAAAATCGAGCGGCTAATTTTTTGTTTGTTATTTACTTTTCGTTTGCCAATTGTGAATTGCATTTTGTTGTCGCTGTTGTTGCTACGGGCTGGCACATGCTGAATAGCACCTGCCCCATTCCCATTCCAATTCCCATTCCCACCCGCCACAAACCACTTGCCTATTCATATTGTACTCATAAATTGGGTAACAAAACGCAGAGTGAATCCGGCCAGAAGTCATGTGATGTCATAATTTGCTTGCTTTCTTGCCACAAGATCAATAATTGAATCCATTTTGTTTATATAGTTATATTCCAATAATTGGCAAATATTATAAACTCGTATATTTATAAAAGAAAAACTGTTACTATGCTGCGCCATCGAGGCCAAGTGACTTTGTTTTAGATATAAACTAAACGCATCTCACGCATTTTCCACTTGTGCAAGTAGATTTTACAAACTTGTGTTACAATTTTCGATTTATCTTTTATGTAGAGGTCTGATAATATTAGAAAAGATAGATTATTGTTTAGATTATTATTTGATATTTTAAAGATAGATAGATATGACAAAGCTATATCATGATAATATAATACAACTGACAATTTTTAATCCTTTAAGGCAATTATTTTGTGTATTTCTTCAAATCAATGCAATACATTTTCTCATATATCTTGTAAGGCCGTTTATATAAATTATTTTAGGTAAATCCAAATGCATTACCCATGCCTCCATTGAAAAACGCAACTATTTGATATGTTTATAAGTAGAATTTATTGTAGATATTTGATGTGTTTATTCAATGTTCAAATTAACATTTGGTTACAGAATTTAGTTGTAGCCTAGCTAAAACGGATTCGACAGTTCATATTTGATGTCTAGGTTGCATCTTCTATAGGAATATTTATATAGGATGCATAGCACTAAATAGGATGTTGTCTGTTGTCAAAAGCGGCATTATTCGAAGTGTTTATCAAAGTCTCTGGAGTGAGCCTCGCTCGTTTAGCAATTGAGTTCGCTTGGACTCCTTTTTGGCATTTACATAAGATAATTGTTATATATGAGTAGCTGCTGTTTTTTCTCCTCCGTCTTCGTTCTTGTCTTGTTCTTTGAGCGCACTTGGAAGGGTTCAGTTGACGCCCGAACCAAGTTCGTTTTGATTTGAGCACATTGTCCTGGAATGCATTACAAGCTAATGACTAGTCTATTATTCAGATATGAGTATATAGTTTAGAGCCTGACTGGGTTCTCAGTCTTTGGATCTGGCAGCGCAGCTCTCAACGTTCCATGCCCAGATCGTGCAGCAGATGCTGTTTGATTACCTCGCCCTCCTGCTCGGCCAGCAGCTGGGCAGTCACAGTGTTGATCAGATTGAAGGCCAAGGCAAATCCGCTAAAGGTTGTCCAAACGCCAAGCGCCAGCCAGCGCAGCAGCCTCGGACGCAGACTGCCGTCCAGCTGCCGGAGCAGGCACAAACCCAAGCTGAGTCCAGCCAGGGCGCCCGTCATGTGCGCTATGTAGGAGACGGAGATGGTGGGCGGCAACTCCACCAAGGCCAGTTGCCGGCAGTACAGTGTGTAGGCCAGATCGCAGGAGACTACAGAGAAGCGTCATAGTGACCAAAGTCAGGCAATTAGCTGGAGCAGTAAGAGTACTCACCGAAGATGACAACCGCCAGCAGCTGGGCGAGTCCCTGGCGCATGTGACCAAAATTGAGCAGCACATTGGCCAACTGGGCTGCCAGCAGAGCATAGACGCCGCCGCTGGCGCCCACCAGATACACCGTGGAGTCGACCACGCTGGTGCCCAGCGAACCGGCCAGCACACCCGCCACATAGACAACGGCCGTGCGTCCCGAGCCGTGCAGCAGCTCCAGCGGCAGGCCATACAGCAGCTGGGTGAGCACATTGAAGCCCAGATGCAGCCAGCTGGCGTGCAGCAAGGCGTAGGAGACGAAGCGCCACAGCTGCAAGCGTCGATCCGGACGATAGATGAGCAGCGAATCCTCCGGCGGTGCAGAGCCCCAAAACACAAAGACAAGGATCTGAGGAATGATGCAAGTGGATTTAGGCCAGTTTATTGATTGAAGCTACCGTTTCCGATTTCAATTTCGATTTAAGATTCGATCTAAAAAGGTTTAGCTGGCAAGTCTAGTCAAAATCCGCTCCATTAAGTGCTTTCGGCCGGAGGTGGGCGGCACTAAAGCCACATCACAATGTAAGCCCTTTGTTTTTCAAGCCCCTCAACGGCGCCAGGAAAAGCCTGGAAAAACTAAAGCAAAAGCTAAATCAAAAGAGACGGACTCTCCTAGACACGCCGAAGATAAAATACTCTTGTAAACATAAGGCTTATAAGATGGAATAACTTCCAATTGTTTCTATTAAATTGATACGGCCTTGCAAATATGTGAGAAGGGAGAAGCTCGTATTATCTGAGTTTGTTTTTTGTTTGTTCTTCTGTCTGTCTGTCTGATTGATTATTCCTATGAGGCGGCTATATAAGATAGGGGTCCGATCTGATTCCTTTATTTGTCCTTGCGATAGCTGGAGAACTAAGAGATTAGACAGACTGACTTGAACCATATGGATTAACACTATAGATACTGATTATAAATATATATACTTGGTGGAATCGAAACTTCATAAATTTCATGGCAAAATGAAAATACCCTTTGGAAGGGCATTAAATGAAAAAGGAAAAGCCAAGCAAAGCAACCCTCAGGCCGAGAAACGAACTGCAACCGAAGCAAGCCGAGAAACTGAACGAGACTGGCAGCAGACAGTGGCGAGACGTCGCCAATGCCGGCATGGCAAATTTCATGCGCCTTTCATGCCACTTGCCACTTGCCACTTGCCACATTCCTCCCCCGACCCACTCTTTGTGGCTGGCGGCGTCCAGTCTGCAGACCCAGACACTAATACAGACGCACAGAGTGTTGGATTTTCGCACGCACTACCCAATGTTGGACAGCTCGGCGGTCTCCTGTTTCAGTTGATATATCCTTTAACCGGAAGCCAAATGCCATTTGCAAATGCGTCGCCTGCCGCTTGCCGCTTGCCACTCGCATTGTGGCCAGCCGGCAATTTATTTGCCACAGAATTCCTCGATACGAGGCCAGTTCACGTGTGTGGCATGCAACTGCAAACGGGCAGGGAAGTGGAACGTATCGTTAGGTGGGGAGGGGGGGTTGCTGAAATATGATCACGAGCTGTTATTGCTTGGCTGGGACACCCACTGGAGAACCACCCTTGCGAGCATCTGAAGCGCAATAACTTGAGATGATGGCCAAACAAAACGTACACGAAATGCCCCATTAAAGGGCGGCCCAGCAAAAGAAGCTGTTCGTCAAAGGGCGGAGGACAGCTGTGGCACGGGATCACAGAGTGTGGCACGAATGTGTTGCATATTTAATGTGGAAGGCTATAAACAAACAAGCCACACAATATGAAGCTGACATTTAAGTTTCCACAATTTCGAAAATGTAAAACGTTTGTCGTTTGGGCTGAAAACTGAATAAATAAAAAGGAGAAATTCGAATAAATTGTACAAAATTCGGAAATGGATGACTTGGAAAATATAATAAATAAATGTTGGAGTTTGACAATTTCAAGGAGTATTTGAATCCCTGCAAGTCCAAGTTCTTGTAGGTTTTAGCATAAGTTTTGATAAAGGAAATTAATAAACCTAAGAACTTAGCATCCGATTTTTAATGGAGCTTTGACAATTTGATTTTTTACAACTAAAAATCAGATATTTTACATTTTGAGCTAAAAACAATAATTAAATTATATATATAATTGACTAGAATTGAAAACTTTGGCAAAAAGAAAAAAGATAGTGGAATGGTTGAAACAGCAGATGACAAATGAAAACAAAGAATAAAACAGAAATAAAATGCAATTAAAAATGAGAGTTGAGAGCTTGAGCCAAACAATTTCTGAGGAGCTGCAGCTAAATGCACTACAAAGTAAACAGATTTGAATGAAAAGGATAAATTAAAAACTGCTTTAAAAGTTGATTATTTAAATGAAATGAGATTGTTTGAGTTTTCCCCTTGGTTACACTTGGCGTTCACTGAGTAAAATGTTGCACATAATTTCACTCCTGAAAGCAATTAACTGCGCCCCCGAAATGTTGAGTGCGCCTTGTGTTGTGCAATGTGCCCGATGTCATGGCAACCCGGTGGCATAGCTGCCCCTTTTTCGACTGGCCGCACTTAATCAACCCCAACTGGGTCCGGGCAGAGGTTAATCGCATTAGGAATTGGTCAGCGGTCCCACCTACCTCCAGCAGTGATACGAGTAGCATGAAGCAGGGCGGCGGCCAGCAGCGCGTTTGTCTGCCTGTCAATTGCGGCTGCTTCTCGGAGGCAGCCTCTGTCTCTGCGCCGGCTGGCAGCATCTTGGAGCCGATCGGTGCGGAGCGCGGCTGTTGCTGCATCAGCTGGTCGAGGCAGACGCCCAGCACCAGGCCGCTGTTGCGGGCCCGCGACGGCGGCATCTGCAGCACTGTGGCAGCGAGCATTTCCGATTTGTTGCCGTTGCCGTTGCGGCGTCTATTTTTGGGGCCTTGTCTGCCTTGTGACGGTGCCCCACTTAGTGGCTGTCATGATGTTGCCGGCGGCGTCGGCGCAGCGCAAGGAATTTTGTCTGGCCCACAGTTGGCCCCTGCAAAGAGACGCAGAACACACAAAGAGAGTGAGTCACAGATGGAGACAGAGAGCCATAGAGGGAGAGAGCGAGAGAGCGAGAGAGAGAGAGAGAGAGAGAGAGTATTTTGCTAGCCAAATTAGCTCAAGGTTGTCTGTCCAACAATTTGCACGTTCCTTTTGCCCCTGCGACAACTGCAGCGCAATTTCTCTTGACTTGATTTGGCGCCAGCCAAGTCAATAAGCCAGCCGAACCCCACATCCCCGTCCATTCCATACCCACCCCGTAAGTACCCGAAATGCCGCTTGTAATGTCACCAGACGGCTATAAAATAGTCGCAATTTATTTCTTATTTCTTGCCCAGACAGCGCATTTTTCGACAAACAAATTCATTTGTGCTGCACATCCAACTAGACACCCAACTATAGGGCGAAGGCATATTATTTTGCTAAATCATCCTACAAAGAGTTTGTCAAGACTAATAAATATCCTGGTAAAAACATAAATTGCCCCATTCAAATAGCAATTACGGCATGCGGTATTATACGCTGAATTCCTGAATATATAATAATATTCTTGACCAGGACGACAAGTTCGATCTAGCTATATTCATCTGTCTTTATAACTATGTGAAAGCGGAGATTTCGAAAACTACAAAAGCTAGATAAATGTAGTAAATCATATTATTCTGTGGATGTATAAGAGATATACCTACTCAATTCTGTGTCTCAAGGTATTTTAAGCTCCAAAATATGTTTTAAAGGCAGGATTAGTATATCGCTTCTTATCGATTGCTTGAAATCAGGGCGGGCTGTCGATTATTTGAGAAATATTGTCCTTTAATCACGTGATCTGGAGGGAATTGAAAGGAATGGGTCTAAGTAGGCTCGTTTGCCGTTTCTTTCCGCTTTTAATGGATTTAAGGTATAACAATTGTGTCGAATTCGACAATTAGCTATACAGATTTGTATAAAAACAAATGACGCATCTACAACTAACACGGAACTCTCTGCCAATTATCTGAAATCCATAGCTTCAAAATGTTTCTCAACATGGGATTGATTTTGCTGGTCGGTCTTGCTCTAAGTCGAAGAAGAAAAATATGCTGATTCTATGTAGATATTATATTAAAGAAGTATCAAACTGAGATTGTAAATTAAGTGAAGGGTAAAATGTTTAAAGATATTTAAATAACATGTTATATGGATTACTCGGAGAATAGTTCAACATTTAGTTAAATAATATACACAAATATATTCCAAATAATTCGCTACGCTACAAATTTCAAGACGATTTGTCAATTTCCGTATTTGTAATTGCTTATCAACGGTTATTAATTAGTTTCGAACAAGAGAAGTTGTGTAACAGGCAGAACGAAAATGTGGCTATAAAAGCAAACGGGATTCATTTTGATTTGTTTCAATCTAGATCAACTATTCAAAATGTTTATCAACGTGTGCTGGATCCTGCTAATTTGTGCTGCTCTGCCAAGTGGGCGTGTCTTTGAGAGTTGGCCCATGCAAATGGATTAAAGAAATGATTTTTCTTATCATTTAAATACAATTTTGACCAAAAACATTTGGTGTATTCTCTTTTCAATCGAAATCAACTGGTTGCACTGGCACTGGCTGCTCTGCCAATTGGGCGTACTTATGCTATTGGATTAAAAAAATAATTATTTTTCTCATCAGTCAATGAAGAACGTTTAATTATTGATTACTTTCTTATAATGCTAATGATAACAAACTTTTGATACTTGTTCGCTTACCAAACGATCGTCTGTAAACCTCTGCCGTTCGACCTATTCTCTTCTTAAATAGAGATATGAGAGGAGCTTGAATTTGTAAGACGACGAATGTTAGTCCTTTCTGTAAGCTTCCGCTCACGTACAAGTATATACCTCTATATTAACTAGATTTAAACGGCGACTAATCAGTTTGTCATAAGAAGTGTGTTAAGCAAGTGTTAGTCGCTTTTTCGTAACATGAATATCAGTCTAGAACCCAACCTGAAAAATGTACCTCAATTAACTAGTTTGTATTCTTTAAGGATAAACATTTTTAATACATTATATACAACCTCGAAGAGCACATAATTGAAAGATATAGACTTAAAGTTAAACATTGAACATATGAAATATGTCAAAATTGAAATAGTTTAGATGGGAAATTAAAGTTAATATTCCGCGGAAAGAAGCAAACTAAGTAAAAGCTGTTGTTTTTTGTGGATTTCATTTGTGTCGCAGCTCGTTTCAGTCGGACATTTCGTAACTACATTGTAAGCGTGGACCTGGCCAAGTTGGTTTATAGTTGGCCAGTGCCAGCCTTAGTGTCCTGGGCCCCATTTGGTTGGCCATGGCGTGTTGCTTTGGCAGTTGCCCTTGGTAATGAGTTTTAATGGTGATTACCTTTTGCCAAACACACACAAGGCAGCTGCGCCAGCGGGGCGTTTGGCAGGGTCAGGGGGCAGCCGGCTCTGCCAACTGACGGTCGGCCAGGACACACTTTTGTTGCAAACGAGTTTCTGCGAACGGAAATGCTGCGTCTCCCATCTTCGATCCTGTATCGGGATGCAGTGCCGCAAAACCGGCTGACCATGGTTGGGGTGCGGGCAGGGGTGCAGGGCTTGTTGTTTTGCCCATTTGCTGTATACACAAAAATCGAGCGCACGCCAAAACTGTACAAATATCGACAGGTGTGTGGGCATGTCCTTAATGTCCTTAAGCATCATTTCTTGTTTCGTAAGCATTTCAGCTTTTGTTGTGCTTTGCTATTGCTGTCGGTTGTGTTGTTTTGTTTTTTGTTTTTGCCGTTTGGCCTTCTCACGCAAGTTATGCGCTGTTGTGCCCATTCAGGACACGCACATTTCCTTGAACCAGCTGAGAAACGTGAGCACTGGCTGCGAATCGAGAATCGTGAATCGAGCCCAGTATCGGAACCTTCGAGCGCACATGTATGTATAATATATGCATATGTATGTATGAGTGGATTATGCAAGCATTCGGACTCGCTAGGCGACCTCCTTAAGACAGGACACTGCCACTCCCCTCCCTGCTCTCTATCCAGCCAAGCCCAATCCCAATCCCACTTCAACTTCCATATGCCCCACACCAAGCACTTGATTCGGCTTTGAGTTGGCATTTGTATTTGTGTTTGCTCTGGCAAATATTTAATTTGCATAATGTTGGTTATTTGTATGTGTGTGGTGATGTGTGTGTGTGTGCGTGTGTGTGTGCGGGATGTGTGTGTGTGTGTGTGCGTTGTGTGCTTGCATTATTTGCATTTGTGTTTATCAAATATGCGTGCTATATTTTTTTGCTCCATTGCATTTATTGATTCATTGATAAACAAATAAAATGATTAAAAAAAAGGGAATACGAGAGTTCTCAATAAATAGATTTAATAGATAGTTTATTAAACCGATTACCGCCCATTAATTATTTATGTCATGTTCAAAAAAATGGTAATTTCACATAATTAAATAATTCAATTAATTAGTCAATTAATAAATAAACAAGGGTATTCATTTTAAATCAAATTCGTAAAAGTGCAACTTAATCAATTTAAAGCAACTTCTGTAGATAAATCTCATTAGTTGGGAACTTTTACATGAACTTAGTCAAGGGCTCTTGCCACCTACTTTTGCCATTTTACCTAACTAACTTTGTATTCTAATTGCGAATTTAAACCTTAAACAGCTTTCACTTAAATATCAATGTTTAGCTTAAAAGCTGTTTATTAACATTTGCAAGACTGTTAACTTTTTTCATTAAAGATCCGCCTTAAAACGTTTTCAAATTCCCAAGCTGCAAGACATGTGTGTGCTTCTGTATTGTTCACCATTGCAGGATAAGTTTTTGCAAGTTGGCCAAAAGTATGTTGGCAAGTGAAATGTGTTAAGTTAAATTTTAATTACCATCGCCGCGGGGGGAGTCAAGCAAAGGGAGTGGAAATTGTGAGAGTGAATAAGAGAAATGTGCATAATAATTATGACTGGGCTTAAATGTTAGTTGTGAGAAACTTGTGAAAAGTGAAAAAGCAAGATACAAGTTAAAGAAAATAATAAATAAATAAAAGCAAGTTGGCAGCACTCGACGCCAGCGCGGCCTTGGCTGAGTGGGTGCTTGGCTGGCTGTCTGGTTAGCTGGGTGGGTGGGTTTGGTTGGTGGAGTGAAAGAACTAAGGCGACTGCAAAATATGCACATAGAAAGTTGCATTAACAACAACAACGCGATAAACATTAACAACAATGACGGGAAAATTGTTTTAAAAACTATAATTGAAAAGAGAGGGAGAAAAAAAAAAACATATGTGAGAGGGCCTTCCGAGAATATGTAGATGGTAGCTGGTCGGAGCCCTATGTTGTGCCCGCTGGGAGTTTTCACTTTTAATAGGCACACATACAGCAATAACATTAACAATAACATTAACATTAAATTTGCAAGTTATTTTTTAGTGCGCGCAATTAAAACAAAGTTGGGCAACATTAGGGTAAAGTTATGAAAGAAATGCGGAGGGAGCGCACATTGTGCACTGTGGCAAGGGGATGAGCTGACTGACTGTGCACTTCGCTTAACAAAGAAAGTCGCCAGAGACAGGGGTACGGTGGTAGGGGGAAGGGTGGTGGTGGTCTCAGCGCCCAAAGTCGTCGCTCATTTCACAATCAAATTCCGGCAATTGAAACGAATGCGATTAAAAGCCGCACGTCATGCGAGAGGGAAACAAGTGCTCAGCTGATGTGAGAGCGGAGAGGAGAGCGGAGCTCAGCAGAGGTGGGCAGACGGAGATGGAGTGCTGTGTGCAAATGGAGCATCGCGATAGGCCGGCTCCATCAGCCTGAAAGGGGGGCGAATGGGAAGGGGCACAATTGCAGCGGCCCACGCGACTCTTGCCGAGAGTTCATTTCCATTTGGGTTGCATGCCACGCCAACGTCTCGCGGCATGTGAAGAGAGCGAGTGCACAGGGGCGGGTAGTGGAGGGGAAGTCAAACTCAATCTCTACATTTGCCTTTGCTTTCAATTTAATTGTAATTTCTTTTGTGTTTATTGCGTTTGCCTTCTGCTGCTTACATTTTAATTTCATTAACTTGTGTTTACTCTGTGTGAAACACTTGCCCAGCCACAAGCTCTGCAAAGGCCCTCCCCCCCTCTCCATTTGTCCAAGTTTTTGACATAAAATTTAACCTACAAGCAACCGCTTGTAACTTGTATCTTGTATCTGTGCCAGCGATTTCAACAAAAGCTGCTCTCGTTTTTGATGAACCCAAGATACAGCTAAACGAAACCAGATGCTCGTGCACACTTCAAATTGGGCAAGCGAATTGTCCAGAAATGAACCATAAATATATTTATTAAATGCAAGAGGCCAATTAAAAAGTTCTCCCAGCGGGATTCGAACCTGAGCCTCGGGTATAAGGGTTTCCTGAATATTGCAAGCGACAACGCTAGCTTAAAAAGATTTCCCAAGCCAAGGATCAAATCCGGACTTTATGTTCAAATTGAAATTAATTGAAATAAAAGCACAGCTAAAACTCGCATAAAAAAGTTTCCCATACCGGGAATCGAACCCGGGCCTTCCGGGTGAGAGCCGGATATCCTAACCACTAGACAATATGGGACTTGAGGCGCGCGCCGTAAAATAAGTTAGATCAGAAGATTTGAAAATCTTAAATAAAGGAATAATAAGAACTAAATTATTGAGCGCAAGCTTTGTTAGTTGTTTTATAGAAAGCATAAAACTGCGCACAAAAAGCGCAGCAAGAACTCAGTTAAGTCAGAGAATACACGTATTTATGCTGAATATTTCTACGACTTCGCGTCAATGCACAAATCAGTTAGCGTCCGACCAGAAGGCAGTTGTCAGACTTAATAA